AGAAGCTTCTATTGCCTTAGCCGGTTTTGCTCAGTGGAGAGTATCGGCCTGCAGAGTGAAGAGTACAGGGTTCAATTCTGGTCAAGGGCACACGCCCAGGTTGCGCGCTTCATCCCCAGTAGGGGGCGTGCAGGAGGTAGCCAATCAATGATTATCTCTCTTCATTGATTTTTTTCTCTCTCTCCCTCTCCCTTCCTCTCTGAAATCAATAAAAATTAAAAAAAAAATAGCTCCTATTAAGGAAATCTTACAGGATATAACAAATACTTCCTAAGTTATCAGTTTGTAGAGTGTTGTAAAAATGGAACACACCTATATTTTATACTCTCAAACAGATTACTGAAAGAAATCAAAACTACAAGTTCACTGCTGTACTTTATTTTTTAAGAGATATATTTTTTGCCTAACTGGCGTGGCTCAGTGGTTAAGCATTGACCTATGAACCAGGAGGTCATGGTTCAATTTCCAGTCAGGGCACACACCAGGGTTGTGGGCTCGATCCCCAGTGTGGGGTATGCAGAGGCCTCTGAAATACATACATACATACATATATATATATTTTATATATATTTATATATATATGTTAAATCTGATAAAGAAGCTTCTATTGCCTTAGCCGGTTTTGCTCAGTGGATAGAGTATCGGCCTGCAGACTGTGAAGAGTACAGGGTTCAAAGTACAGGGTTCAATTCTGGTCAAGGGCACATGCCCAGGTTTTTTATATATATATATGTATGTGTGTGTGTGTGTATATATATATATATATTTTTTTTTTTATTTTTTTTTTAACTTCAGAACGTAAGAGGAAGAAAGAGATAACATCAATGATGACAGAGATTTATTGATCGGCTGCCTCTTGCACCCCCCACATGGGACTGAGCTTGCAGCCCTGGCATGTGCCCTGACCTCTTTCTGGTTCATGCTCAACCACTGAGCCATTCTGGGCAATATACTTTATACTTTATGTTTCATTTAAACCTTTATGTTACACACATTATGAAGAGGCACTCTCACTTTCTGATTTCTAGACTCACTGTTATGTTTTTAGATAATTAATGCAGGAGCTCCAAGGAGATTCTAGACCAAAGCAGCCACACTAAGTTAAGATCACTACCAGATGTTTTTTGAAAAGTTAGTATTGCCCGGTTTGGTTCAGTGGATAAGAGAACTGGCCTGAAGACTGAAGGGCCCCAAGGTTTGATTCCGGTCAAGGGCATGTACCTAGGTTGCAGACTGGATCCCAGCCCTGGTCAGGCATATTTGGGAAAGCAACCAACAGATAGATGTCTCTCTCATACGCATCAATGTTTCTCTGTCTCTCCCCCTCCCTTCCACTCTCTCTAAAAATCCATGGAAAAATATTCTCGGGTGAGAATTACCACTGGGCAGGTGTGGCTCAATGGTTGAGCACTGACCTATGAATCAGGAAGTCATGATCTGGGCACATTCCTGGTCTGGGCACATGCCTGGGTTGCAGGCTCAATCCTCAATTAGGAGCTTGCAGGAAGCAGCCAATCAATTATTCTCTCTCACTGATGTTTCTCTCTCTCTCTCTTTCCCTCTCTGAAATCAATTAAAAAAAAGAAGCTGAAAAAGACACAAGAAACTACCTCTGCCTATAGCCAAAGCTAAGAATCACACTGATTCAAGATATTTCAAAAAAATAATAAAAGCAGGATGAATTAAAAAATTGTGAAATACAGGTCTCCCAAGTCTCTAGCATAACAGATGCCCTAGTTAAAACAGACTGCAGCCAACTATTTCATGGTGAAAAAGATCAATTAGAAGCCCACTAATATGAAAAAGTTAAAGGAGTTACATTATGAAAAAAATTTAGAATGACTGACAGGGACCAGGTAGATCCCACTATGCCAAGGTCACAGAATTGAACCCCCATCAGGTTACATACCAGAATCATAAATTAGTAACAACAAATTGGTTTCTTTCTCTTTTTCTCTCCCCACTCCTCTCTCTAAAATAAATAAATAAAATTTTAAAAAGAATCATTGACAATCCCACTGTCTTCAAGAACTATTATGCAAAATAGAGAAAAGTGTTTACCTTGAAAATAAATTATACTAAATGTTGGACTGTAATTTGATATGAGAGAATAGCAGTAGGAAAAGTTATGTGCCAACCTTTTCTTTTTCAAATATATTTTTTATTGATTTCAGAGAAAAAGGGAGAGGAAGAGAGAGAGAGAGAGAGAGAGAAATATCAATGATGAGAATCACTGATCAGCTGCCTCATGTACACCCCACACTGGGGACCGAGCCCACAACACCACATGTGCCCTGACAAGAATGGAACTATGAACTCCTGGTTCATAGGTCAACTCTCAACCATTGAGCCACACCAGCCAGACTGTGCCAATTTTTATCTGCAGCTGTGATGGAACACACTAAAAGCCTTGTTTTAAGACAAAAGCAATGAAATTAAAAAAACAAAAACAAAAAAAACAATAGTTTACAACTTATCACTAGTGTTAACTGCTCATGACCATAAATATGCCTGTTTCCAGTGAAGGGTTTTGGGATAAAAGGCCATACAATAAGGAAAAAGTGGAAGAAAATGAAATTGAACAAAATTCTCACACAAGACTAAAACAAAATCTTTTTAAGAATTTTCATACATTTTTATGTCACAATTAAAGGTAAAAACAGCAGAAACCTTGGCTCGGTGGATAGAGCGTCGGCCTGCGGACTGAAAGGTCCTGGGTTCGATTCGGGTCAAGGGCATGTACCTTGGTTGCGGGCACATCCCCAGTAGGGGGTGTGCAAGAGGCAGCTGATCAATGATTATCTCTCATCGATATTTCTAACTCCCTATCCCTCTCCCTTCCTCTCTGTAAAAAAAATCAATAAAAATATAATAAATAAATAAATAAATAAAGGTAAAAACACACAAAGATAAAGAAATCTAACAGCAAAACGAGATTAAACCATTCTTTTTAAATAAGACTAAAATTAAAAACCATTTAATTTAAGTCAGTGTATGCTACAGGAAATCCTCTTTATATACTACCTATTCCAAACTGAGAGAGCTCTCTACACTACTTTCAGTTACTTAAGCAAAATATTACAATTTGAAAACATTTAATTTTTGTTTAATAAATTCCATTGGAGTGAAATTATTCTAACTAGTGCACATTTACCTTGACTATCAATGATACTTTTGGGGAAACAATTCTTTTTTGGAAATAAACTTTACTCCACTAAATTTGGCCAGTAAAATTTGTTAAATAATGCTCTGCTAGAAGTTATATAAATTCCATTTTATGCAACTAACTTTTCCAGTATCTGTAAATGAAATGTATACTTGACAAGAGAATAGTCCTCAATCAATAACTTGTATATTTAGTGATTTTAAATGTTTGCATCTGAAAAAATATAGTGTGGTGACCACAAAAAGTAAGGTATACAGTTGGTAAGGGTACTGCTTTTACAGAGTATTCTAAAAATGTGCCTTCACTGGGTATTTGGTAACTATCACAGGCAGGAATATTAAATATTCCCCTATCGATTATCCACATTTTTTCTACAAAGTTGACCCAATTTCAAGCCTGAATCCGAGTCTTCCACTTTATAAGGGTAAAAAACAAAAGTAATTGGGTAGTCCTAAAAATACACATTAACTACATGACCGAAGACACTCATTTAAAACTTTTGCCAAGATAGCACCTCCCTTCAAAACAAACGATTGACTCACTGCTCTATATTACTTAATTTTGGAAAAGGAAAATAAGAAGAAAAAAACTAAACGGATTCCTAAACACTCATTTCCCTCGATCTCTGGACCCACCATTTAAAATGTTCAACCTTCAATTTATGATCCGTCCCTTCAAAAATAGTTAATGAAACAAAATAGAAAAACAACCTCAGTATTTCCAAGTTATCTACCACGAAATTAAAAAACAACAACAACAACAACAAAGACAGCAGATTCAAGAATGTCCTCAAGTCATAGAAAACAATGGAAACAATGTGTATGGTTCACCAGCTACTCAATGAAACAGTCTCACCTGAGATGATACTTTTTAATCCGTGAGACCACCCATGAGCTAGAGCTAGCCACCTGAGCGCAAAAAGGTTTCAATTTGTCTCCCAGAAGTGGGAAAAGCTCTCCATCTCCCTACATTAAGTTCCACCCTCCGTGACTATGTGTCTACATGTAGGAACAAAACAACAACAACAACAACAGGCCTGTAAAAAAGTTGGGGGCAGGGTGAGGACAAAGGGCATTTTGAAACACCACAGAAGTAAATAAGAGAATGAGGACAGGAGGGGGCTACATTCAAGTTCTTTCAAGGGGATCAAGGCGGGGGTGGGGGGGCCGACGCTCTATCCCCTGAGCCAAAAAAAAAGCAGCGACCCTTGTTGACCACCGTGGGCTCCCAGTCTTCACTGCCGCCCGCTGGAATGCGAAGTCGGAACCCACACTCCGCAGAAGCCCCTCAGATCCTCCAAATGTCAGGTCCCCAGGCTGCCCCCGGAATGACAGGCTAGTGCCCCTCCCCCACTCCCTTCTCCCCCCCAAAAAGAAAGGTCCAACCCCATAAAGTGCAGGTCACTCTGCCCTCTGGGGCAGTTCCAGCCGGCGCGGGGATGGTTCTGATGGGAGGACGAGAGGGGGCAACACAAACCACCTTTTTTGTCTTTCTCCCCCCCACACACACCCCATTTACACCCACCGCTGAAGAAGCAACAAACCCAAAAACAAAGACAGCCCCCCGCCTCCCCGGGCCGTCCCTGTCCTAAGCCCGGGAGGCTCCCCGGCTCCCGGAGCGGCCCGGCCTCCCGCCCCCACCCACCCCCAGGACAAAGAAAAGGCACCGGGTGAGCAAGGCCTTCCTGCCTCCTCCGGAGGGGGGAGGGGGCTGCCGAGGTGAGAGGGGGGTGCCCCCTCCGCTCCCTCTCGGCCCCGAAAACAGCCGAAAGCAGCGGCGGGGAGCGCAGCGGGCTCCGCGGGGGAAGCCCGGCCTGGGGGAGCTGGGAGTGTACCTTGAAGTAGCCTCCTTCATAGAGGGTGTTGGGGGGTCCGAAGATGGCAGCCTCCCAGTTGCAGAAGTCGGACTCGTCCACCAGGGTGATCCGGAAGCCCTCCACCGGCTCCTCCTGCAGGGACTTCAGCTCCAGCATCAGGGCCTTCTGCGAGCTGGTCATCTGCTGCTGGGCCATCGCGGCGGCGGCGGCGGCCGGGCCGGGGCCCAGTCCTCACGCACCGGCCGGGCCGGACCAGGCCCCTCCCCTCCGCGCCGCTCGGCTCGCCCTCGGCCGGGCCGCTCTCCGCGCACACGCAGCCGGCGGGCCGCACCAGGCCCCAGGCGGCCCGCGGGCCGGCCCGGTGCTCCTCACACACGACGCGGGCCCGGCCTTCTCCTCCTCAGGAGGGGCAGAGGCTGGAGGAGTTCGGGGAATTCACTCCCGGTCCGGGTCCCGGTCCCGGTCCTCCCCCCCCCAGGGGGCCTCAACTTGGGGGGGAGAGGAAGGAAGGTGGAAGCGGAGAAAGGCGGCGGAGGGCCGGCGATGGTGAGGAGACGGGGCCAGGCCGGCCCGGGGACGCCGCGCTCGCTCGCTCGCCCTCTCGTTCTCCTCTGGGGCCGCCGGGGCCGCCGGGCCGGGGGGCGCGCGGGGCCGGGGGCGGGGGTCTCGCGGCGGCGGCGGCGGCGGCGGCGGCGGCGGCGGCGGGACGGGGGAGGGGCGGCGGCGGCAGAGGAGGAGGAGGAGGAGGAGGAGGAGAGAGCGCCTCGCGCCGCGGGAGCGACGGAGGCCAGGAGCAGGAGGAGGGAGGGAGGGAGGGAGGGAAGGGAGGGAGGAGGGGCGCGGGCCGGGAGGGAGGAGGCTCTCGGCGAGTGGCGACCGACGCGCGTGCGCGCGCCCCTCCCTCCTCCGCCCTCCGGGTCGCCGTCCTCCTCCTCCTCCTCCTCCTCCCACGTCCACGCCTCCTCTCGGCCGCCCGCCCGGCGTGGTGGTGGCGGCGGCGGCGCTTTGTGACGCCCGCGCCGGTCCCCGCCCTTAAAGAGCCAGCGGCGGCGGGGCCGAGGGGGGCCTCCCGGGGTGCGCCCGGCTCCAGAGGATGGCTGTGCGGCTGGACACCCCGGTTCCCCGAAGGCGCGCCGAGGAAGGAACCCTGGTCCTGGAGCCACTGGCGCCCCCCTTCTCCCCCTGTGTGTATCCTCAGCCTTTCCCTCAGGAGACCTGGTCCTCTGCGGGTTCATCCCTCACCCCAGTGTGTGTGTGTGTGTGTGTGTGTGTGTGTGTGTGTGTGTGTGTGTGTGTGTGTGTGTGTGTGTGTGTGTTTGGAGGGTGGGAGGGGCAGTGTGCCAAACAGTTGTGGGGTTGAGTGGGGACAGTTTCGATCGAGAAGTGGGGAAGGCAGATAGATGAGCCAGCTTCTACTTCCCTAAACTACAAAGAGGAAGCTGTGGGCAATAGAGGACGCATGAAATTGAACCCACTCCTCTGTGTGATTTGGGGCAAGTGCTCTGGGTGTTCCTCAGTTTACCCATTTGTAACATGTGGGTGAACCTGGACGCCCTACAGGTCCTTTCAGCTTGAAGGAGAGACTTTTTAAGTAATCATGACTGAAGTGAAATCTAGAGAGTCTTCAGTCCCCGTGATTTTTTAAAGTCTTTATTCGTTGAAAGTAATTCCCCATGATGTAGATAGAATACTCTTTTCTCTTAAGAATGCATGTACTATGATAACATATCCTGAAAAGCCAGGGTACTGTGAGAGTGCCAAACACTTAGAATTTGGGGATCAGAAAGGTCCTTGGTTCCAACGCTGGCTCCACCACTTACATTATATTACCTCTTTCTTTTTCATCAGCTTCTGTAAAAGAGGCTTAATGATACCTAACATAAGAGTTGTAAAGATTACATGAGATCATTTATATACAAAGTTTAGTGCAATGACTGGTGCATGGTAAATGATCCATAAACAGGAACTTTAAGAGGAAGAAAAAATAATGTAAAGGCATAGCTGTATTCTGGATACAACCCCCTCCATTATTTAATAGACTTCTTTTTACAACAGCTTTAGATGATAGAAAAGTTGAGATAGTATTGAGCGTTCCCATATTTTTCCAAGGGCACCCAATTTCCCCTATAATTAACAGCTTACATTAGTATACATGTGTTACAATTAAACAATGTTGATATTATTAACTAAAGTCTTTTCTCATATTTTCTTAGTTTTTATCTGGTGTCCTGTTTCAAGATCTCATCCTGGACACCACACTATATTTAGTTTTCATGTTTTGTTAGATTTCTCTTGACTGTGATAGTTTCTAAGATTTGTTTTTTTTTATGACTTTGACAGTCAAGTATGTCATAGAATGTCCCTCAGTTAGTATATATGATGTTTTCCTCATGATTAAACTGAGGTTATATGACTTTGGGATGGGGGGAAGGGGAGATCACAGAAGTAAAATGATATTTTATCACCTCATATCAAGGGCACATAATATCAACATGATTTATCAGTGTTGATATTATACTCTTTATTTTTAAATATATTTTATTGATTTTTTTTTTTTTTTCTTCAGAGAGGAAGGGAGAGGGATAGAGAGTTAGAAACATCAATGAGAGAGAAACATCTATCGGCTGCCTCCTGCACACCCCCTTCTGGGGATGTGCCCACAAGCAAGGTACATGCCCTTAACCAGAATTGAACCTGGGACCCTTTAGTCCGAAGCTCTATCTACTGAGCCAAACTGGTTAGAGCGATATTGTATTCCATAGAAGAAAGTCACTGTGCACAATCCACTGTAAAGGATCCTCTTTATTCTTTTTTCTCCGAGATGAGGTCTCAGTATTTTAAAGAATCGTTCCCTAGCTCCTAACCCTACTCTGTATGCCTGGAGGCCAAACTCCACTGGAATTGGAGCTCACTTCAGAGGAGGGGAAGTGTTGGAGTCAATGCAGCCACTCCTCCCAAATTGATGGTGCATGACTGGTTCTGGCTTCCTCTCCTCCACCACTCAATTCAGGGACAAGAAGATTGCTGACCTGGAAATGTGGGAGATGATGTTGACACCTTTAATAACATGACTATGAGTAGACACATAGGCAGAAAGTTCATCTTCAAAGCATTGCACCCACATAAACTCATCATAGCCCCACCCTGACCCAGAAGATGGTACGTCCTTAGTAATTCAATGGAAAAAACACCTGGCATCCAGACCAGAAGCTGCTCAGATTAATGCACAAACTCATGCTAAATATCGTAGTAGCCATGGCTGTAAGCTGGATGACTAATAAACATACACCTGACTGAGAGGCCCACAGCCCAGTGTGTTAATGAATTGTGTACTTAAGGTTCTCCATTCTCAGGTCAAGAACTAAAATTCCACAGAACTTGCCTCATGTCTTTAATCCTAGCTGGTAAGACATTGTTTATTAGTAGTTTGAAACTGTGTTATTCATCGCTGGATCCTCAGCAACCAGCACAGTATCTGACACAAAGCAGACCCCAAGTAATTGTTCTCATGGTCTCAGAACCAAGGGTAGAAAGACAATCACTAATTGACTACAACAGCCTAGCCGGTTTAGCTTGGTGGATAGAGCGTCGACCTACAGATTGAAGGGTCCCTGGTTTGATTCTGGTCAAGGGCATGTACCTTGGTTGCAGGCACATCTCCAGTAGGGGATGTGAGAGGGAGCCTTAAGTAGTCAAAGATCTACACCTGACTAGATGGATGTAGCTTAGAGCAGCCTGCCACCTTCTCTCCAGTGAGGTGTAAGGACTTCTGGCTTGCCACCAAGATCTTTTTGACCAGACATAGCCTAGCTAATTGTTGTCCAAACACCATAATTTGAGGCCAAACTTCTATGCGAGTTAAACTTTTGACAAGGGAACAAATTTCAAACCGAAGTGTCTGTCAGTCATGTAGCTAGCTATAGAGCTTGCAACTTACTAGCAACAGCTGCCTAATCCATATGAAGTAAGAAAAATGATCTTTTGGGTTTCCCCCCCTCCTTCAGTTTTAATGTTAAGTTATGTATTTAAGTCCTTATTTAAAACTTGTTTTCAGAAAAAACAAAACAAGAAACTTCATGTCAAATTTTCTGAAGGTGTTAACATCATAGATATTTTTACGCTAAAAAAATGTCAAGTTTTGTGCCCAAAAAAGAGCATTTGCGGAAGTTTTAATTCATTATTTTGAAGAAAACTGCTACTGAAAGTTATCGTATACCTCGGGAAGCTTATGGTGAACATGCTCCATCTCAAAGTACTTGTGAACACTATTTTAAATGCTTTAAAAGTGATGATTATTTTTCGCCGAAACCGGTTTGGCTCAGTGGATAGAGCGTCGGTCTGCGGACTGAAAGGTCCCAGGTTCAATTCCTGTCAAGGGCATGTACATTGGCTGGAGGCACATCCCCAGTGGGGGGTGTTCAGGAGGCAGCTGATGGATGTCTCTCTCTCATCGATGTTTCTGGCTCTCTATCCCTCTCCCTTCTTCTCTCTAAAAAATCAATAAAATATATATTTTTCTTTAAAAAGTGATGATTATTTTTAAAATACATTTTATTGATTTTTTACAGAGAGGAAGAGAGAGGGATAGAGAGACTCATCGATGAGAGAGAATCATTGATTGGCTGCCTCTTGCACACTCCCTACTGGGGATGTGCCCGCAACCAAGGTACATGCCCTTAACCGGAATCGAACCCGGGACCTTTCAGTCCGCAGGGTGACGCTCTATCCACTGAGCCAAACCGGTTTCGGCTAAAAGTGATAATTTCTATGTGGAAGACAAAGAATATCTGGGTCAACTGAAAAAAGTTTGAAGACCAACAATTACGAGCATTATTGGATGAAGATGCGCGTCAAATTAAAAAACAACTTGCAAAAAGATTAAACGTTGTTCAGCAAATAATTTCTGATTGTTTATGAGCAATGGGAAAGATTTCAAAGGAAGGAAAACAGGTGCCACATTAAATGAACGAAAGACAAATGGGAAACAGCAAAGTCATCAGTAAAATGTTGCTTCAATGGCATGAAATAAAGTAATTTTTTTCTATCGAATTGTGACTGGTGATGAAAAGTGGGTTTATTTTGAGAATTCCAAACGCACAAAATCATGGGTTGATCCAGGTCAACCATTAACATCGACTGCAAGGCCAAATCGCTTCAGAAAGAAGACAATGCTCTGTGTTTGGTGGGATCAAGAAGGTGTGGTGTATTATGAGCTTCTAAAACCAGATGAAACCATTCATTCTGATCGCTACCAACAACAAATAATCAATTTGAACCACACTTTGATCATAAAACCACCAGGATGGTCCAGAAGACAAGGCAAAGTAATTTTACTTCATGATGACACACCATCACCCACTTCAAAACAAATTAAAGACACATTAAAAGATCTTTCCTGGGACGTATTAACCCACTTGCCGTATTCACCAGACCTTGCTCCTTCAGATTACACTCCAATTAATGACACACACACACTTTCTAAGCAGCACTTCAAAACATACGAAGAAGTGAAAAATTGGGTCTCTGAATGGTCTTCCTCAAAACAAGAAAAGTTCTATTGGAACGGTATCCACAAATTACCGGAAATATGGGGAAATGTGTAGCTAGCAATGGACATTACATTGAATAAAGTATTTTAGATGTTTCTCTTGAAATTATCATGTTTTCTTTGATTATAAAATCTGCATTATTAACCAGTACCAATTAAAAATGTGGATACTGGTTAAAAATGTGGATTTTTGTAATCAAATAAAACATGAACATTTCAAGAGAAATAAATATATATATATTTTTATTTTTAAATATTTTATTGATTTTTTACAGAGAGGAAGGGAGAGATAGAGTCAGAAACATTGATCAGCTGCCTCCTGTACATCCCTCACTAGGGATGCGCCTGCAACCAATGTACGTGCCCTTGACTGGAATCGAACCTGGGACCCAACCCGGGACCCCTCAGTCCGCAGACCAACGCTCTATCCACTGAGCCAAACTGGTTTCGGCTATATATGTTTTTAAGTGAATGAATGAATTGCAGTCATGACTAGTGTGGTTCAATTGATTGGAGGGTTCTCCTGTACACCAAAGGATTGCAGGTTCAAAGATTTGATTCCGGGTCAGGACACATTCTCAGGTTGGGAGTTTGGGGCATGTATGGGCAGTAACCAATTGTTGTTTCTCTCTCACATCGATGTTTCTCTTTCCCTCCCTCTCTCTCCAAAATTAATTAAAAAAAGAAGAATGAATGGCAGAAACAGTTTACTAGTGCTTCCTCATATTGTTTCATAATGGCAAATAGAGATTGAGTTGACTGATTTGGTGCCCTCTAGTGGTGAAAAAGCCCCAGGATATTTACCCTCCGTCTCTGTGGCATCACCTGGTACAACCAGGGCTCTCCTGAAGAATCAATTACCTTTCTTGCACAAAGAAAATACATGGAAATCAATCTTGGTAAGATAAATAAAAGGGAGGAGCACTTGCTTTAGAAAAGTTAATTCTGACTTTAGGAGGCCAAGGTTGTTTTCATTCTGCATATCTTAATGCATGTAAGTCTTGGGTAGTGCTCATAAGGGACAATTTTCCTTTAATACATAATAGCTAGCATTTGCTGTGCATCAGTATGTGACAGGCAAGCAGTATCCTATTTAACACTCACAAAAAATCCATGACATGGTCATTACTAGAATATCTATATAACTGTGTATAATAAGGCTTAGAGATGTTAGGAAAGTCAGCCCATGGCCCTGAAAGGTGTGGCTCAGTTGGTTGCAGCATCATCTTGTGTACCAAAAATTGATGGGTTTGATTCCCCATCAGGGCATAAGCCTGGGTTGCCCATTGCATGTGGGAAGCAACCAATTGATGTTTCTCCCTCCCTCCCTCTCTCTAAGATCAATAATAAAAATGTCACCCAATGAATAAATAGCAGAACCTGGAGTTGAACCTTGGCCATCCCACTTTAGTGTGACTGCTTCTAACCACTATGCCATTATGTTTCTAGTCTAACATGCCCACAGCAACTGCATATTATTACCCCTACAAGCAATTATTTGTTTACATTCTTCTCCCAACCTCTGAGTTACTCTTAGGATAGAGCCATTCATTCACTCAACAAATATGTATTGAGTGTATGCTCTGTGACAGGTCCTGTGCTAAATTCCAAGGATACAGTAGTGAATGAGACAGAAATTATTGCATCCTGCCCTCATGGAGCTTACATTCTAGAGAATGAGATAGAAACAGACAAAAACAGGTAATAAGTAAACAATATTATTGCAAATTTTGGTTAATACTACTAAAGGTGATTAAGGAAATCAAGACTAAAAATGTTGAGGTGAATGCAACTTTATTTTTTAAATCCTCACTCGGAAAGATGTTTTATTGATTTTAGAGAGAGAGGAGGGAGAGAGAAGCATTGATGTGAGAAACATTTATTGGAGCCTCACATACACGCCCCGATGGGGGATCAAACCAACATCCTAGGTATATGTCCCAACTGGGAATCTAACATGAAACCTTTTGTTGCTCCAATCAACCAAGCCACCCTGCTACGGCAGGGGTTGATGCTATTTTAAATGGAGGCAGGGCAGAGACAGAAGAAATCTCTGTGACATTATATTTAAATGAGTAGAAGGACAAGCCTGCAAATGTGAGGGCAAGAGTAGTATTCTAGTTTCTGGCTTGTGACCATCATGTCTTATTTATCTTTTATACTAAGCACAGGATTTGACATTTCTTAAGTGTCATCCAATGTGGGATGAGTGATCAACTAATTTCTTATCTCTTTGGTCTTCCTCAGACTTGAGCAGTGCTGCTTCATCCTCTCAATTCAAAACTGAAATCATGCTTCAAGACTTAGCACAAGCCCCATCTCCTCCAGGAAACCTTCCTTAACAATCAAAGCATTCTTCAGCCATAAAGAGGGAAATCTTGCCATATGTGACAATAAGGGTATTAGCAAGTGAAGTAAGTCAGAGAAAAAAAATACTATATGATGTCACTTATGTGTGGTATCTCAAAACACCAAGCTCATGGAAGCACAGGGTAGACTGGTGATTGCCAGGGACTGAGGAGTGGGGGAAATGAGATGATGCTAGTTAAAAGGCACACATTTCCACTTATAAGAGGAATGAATCTGGGGCTCTAATGTACTGCATGATGACAGTAGTTTACAATACTGTACTGTATGCTTGAAAGTTTCTAACAGAGTAAATATTAAATGTCCTCACCACTACTACCATTACCATCACAATAAATGGTTGTTATGTGAGGTGAAGGATGTGTTAAATGTGTTAATTAACCTGACAGTGGTAATCATTTTACGATATGCAACAAATCATCACATTGTACATCTTAAACTTAAGCAATGCTATCAATTATAGCTCAATAAAGCTGGGGGGGAAACAACGAAAATATTCTGAGCAAAGAAGACAGCAAGTTCAAAGATACAGGGCAAGAGGGCAAGATAGAGTCGGGAAACTCCAAGTAGTTCAATATGGCTTGGCATAAATTTGATGGAGACAATGATAAGAGACAGAACTAGAAGATTGACATTCATTCATTCATTCATTTGACATTTATTGAGTATTCACAGTGTGCTAGACACTGGGCTTATAGATCTGGTCCTTGCTTTCATGGACTCAAAGAGCAAAGAGGAAGATAATTGATAAACCATCAAAAATTGTTTTTAGCCTGCCCAGCATGGCTCAGTGGTTAAGTGTAGGTCTATGAACCAGAAGGTCTTGGTTCAATCCCTAGTCAGGACACACATAATGGGGTTGCAGGCTCGATCCCCAGTATGGGGCGTACATGAGGCAGCTGATCAATGATTCTCTCATCATTGGTATTTCTAGCTCTCCCTTCCTCTCTGAAATCAATAAAAATATATTTAAAATAAACAAATGAAACTGTCCTATATTCTTCAAAGACGTTGTCATAATAGACCAAAAAAGGATGAGATCAGAAAATGTTCCGGATTGAGAGAAAAGAAAAACGACTAAATGAATGCATGACCTTGTATCAGGAAATAAGCTGTTAGTATATAAAAGATATCGAGATAATAGGCAGAATTTGAGCATGAACTTTATATCATAGTATTGAATCAAGGTTAAACTTTATAATTGGGCTATGATTACATGGCGTTCATTATATTCCTATTGCAACGTTTCAGTACATTTGGAAAATGTAATAAACTGGAGAAAAGTTATTACAATAAACTAGGGACAGAATGATGCAACTCAGACTAAACTTGTAGTAAAAAACAGAACGAGTAAATTCAAGATATAGTTTGGAGGTAGAATTGACAAGACTGGTGAATTACTAAGATGCTGTGGACGAAGAAAAGGGATTAGAATCACTGGTGTAAATAAATAAAACACGCCTGAGAGGGCGCACATCAGCCCCGCCCTGGTCCTCTTGACCCAAGCGGAGGAAGTGAGGAAAAAGGAAGCGGCCAGCAACTACCGGTCAGCTTCCTGTCTGGTGTCGCAAAGAGACCGTAAAGCAAATCTGTTTGACTCCTCCCTTAAAATGGGCGGCCCCGAAGATTGACAGCAACCAATGGCGAGCAACCCTTGGGGACACTGGTCCAATGACTCTGGAGCTGGGCGGAGTCTTGCGGCACGTGGCTCGTTGGCGTTTTCTGGGGAGGCCCTGGCAATGTCTCTTCTTGGGGTACCCCAGCAGGTTTTTTGGAGTGTGCAGGAGGCCTGCTGAGGGGGTCCAGCTTCTGCGGAGGGGCTCCGGAGGTTCTGTCGCTGTGGGAAGAAGTTGTACCCCGGAGGGATGGGGCCAGCGCCTGTGGGAGCCCAGCTTCCCGGAGCTGCCGGCGATCCGGAGGTGGGTGAGCCATCTGGGAGGAAAGGGTGCTGCTCCACGTGGTGGAGGTGGCAAAGCTTGACTGCTGTCCAGCAAGGGGCACGAGTGCGGGTCTCTCTGGATCGGCTCCATCCTTCCGATGCCTCCCGCCGGGCGCATGGTGGCGCATGTGGATCTGTGCATGGGGGGCGGGGCCCAGGGCTCCAGTGGAGAAGGTTTGGGATCCCGCTGACCAGGATTTGAAGTCTGCTCACAGTATAGGCAGGCATACCAACTCTGGAACCTCGGGCTCGCGGGACTTTTTCAAGTGTTCGTTTTCTTCCAGGATTATTGTGAGATTGGGGTGACTTAGTGTTTTCGCCAGAGCCAGTAAGTTCTAGTTCTTTCCATCACTAATTAAGCACTAGTGCAGTGTTTTTCAACCTTTTTTGGGCAAAGGCACACTTGTTTCATGAAAAAAATCACGAGGCACACCACCATTAGAAAATGTTAAAAAATTTAACTCTGTGCCTATATTGACTATATATAAAGTAATTCTCTTGAATAGGAATCAAATAAACACAAAGAAAGTATTTTATAATTACTTTATTATGAAATATTAAGTAAACAAAATAGTGAAGAATTATAAAATTCTTGTCTTGTCTGCACCTACGGCACACCAGGCAACCGCGGAACAGCGGTTGAAAAACGCTGCACTAGTATATACAGTACTGATCAGGGTTAGTCAGGGCTTGCTAGGGGAGATGGAACCTGGCAGGATTTGAATAGAGAAAGAGTGAAGATGGCATTTGCAAAGTCCCAGGACGGACCCAGCAGAATTAGAAGCACCCTGATGCGTGATCCCTGGAAATACAAGGAACTCAGGTGTGGCTTAGGATAGGGCCCAGTCAGCTACTACCCCTGCCGGTGCTCCTTGCTTGTGTGTCAGGTAGACAGGGAACCCTCACCTCAAGGAGTTCTGTCTAGAGCTCAGTAACCTTCTAATAAGGAATGATGATCCTGAGTGTTTACACAATCTGACTCCCATTCAAAAGAGGGAGCAGATGCCAGTAAAGCTCTTACCCATCATATCCTATCAGGTGGTACTTCAGGCAGAGAATTATCGATAAACATCTATGACCTCACGCTGGTTTCTCCCTCTCACTGGGCACAGATGATGGAGTCAACTCTGGAAGGCACAGTCAAGGAGGAGAAGAAGGAATTTTCAAAGAAGCATGGAGCGGCTGGGTCTCCAGCGGAGGGTCTCCTGCAGCCAGTGAAGCTTAGCCGGGCAGAACTGTACAAGGAACCTACCAGCGAGGAACTGAATCGCCTTCGGGAGACTGAGAGCCTGTTCCACTCCAGCTTGCTTCGTTTACAGGTATACCATGTGTGGCTGGGGCTTAGCTGAGAGGGGCAGACCTGAGATCCTGAGGATAAAAGACTCTCCCCACCCCTTCTTATAGGTAGAGGAGCTACTGAAGGAAGTGAAGCTGTCAGAGAAGAAGAAGGAGCGGATTGATGCTTTCCTACGGAATGTCAACCAAAAGATCATGAGGGTGCCCTCAACCCCTGAGACAGAGGTAAGACCGGTGGTATAGGACACTGGAAAGCCCAGAAACAGGGCTCTGGAGAGGCTAGGGTACCAGGAAGCTTATTCTCGTAGCCACGAGGCAAAGCTGGGAGTGTGATCAGTCACATGTTCATTCATTTAGCAAATGTTTATATATGCCTTGCAGTAGTTGTGTTCTTAGGCTGCATCAGTGAACAAAGCAGCCTGTTTTAGTGTTGGGGTTATGGACAATAGGTAATAAGCATGACAAGTAAACTAACTACATGGTAAATTAGAAGGTATTAAGCACTGTGAAAATAATAAAATAAAAAAAGTAGGTCGAAGTAAGGGGATTATGGGAATATCAGAGGATGGGAGTGATTTGTGATTATTTTTTTAATAAAAAAAATTTTTTTTTAAGAGAGAGGAAGGGAGAGGGAGGGGCAGAAACATTGTTGAGTGAGAAACATCGATCAGCTGCCTCCTACACAGCCCTAACAGGGATTGAGCCCACAATCTGGGCATGTGCCCTGACCAGGAATTGAGCCTCAACCTCCTGGTTTATAGTGATGCTCAACCATTGAGCCGTACTGGCTGTGCATCATATAATATCATTTTCAGGCCATAAAAAATTATCAACTTAAAAATTAGACTGCTAGAGAGGGAAAGATAGAAACCTCAATGATGAGAGAGAATCATTGATCCACTGCTTCCTGCTTGCCTCATACTGGGGATCAAGCCCACAACAGAGAATGTGCCCTTGACCAGAATCGAACCTGGGATCCTTCAGTCTGCAAGCCGATGCTCTATCCACTGAGCCAAACCAGTTAGGACTAGTCAAATATTTAATTAACTCACCCCTGTTAATGCCTTGGCAGGGCCAGACCAAATGATTTTGCAGGACTTAAATGGCCCATGGGTCGGACATTCCCCATCCCTACTCTAAAGTCAATAAATACAAATTTTTTTAAAATTTTTTTTGAATAAATACAAATTTTAGAAATACATAAATAACATTATTTAAAAAGTAGAACAGAGTGGGACGTAGGTGAAATCAGGGAAGGGGCTTAGGAACCTCTTATGCAGTGATCACTAAAAAATGGTGGTTTAGAGATGTGGCCATGTCTGGATGTCTTTTGAAAGTGAAGTGGGAATTCTTAACAGATGAGTATGGTGATATAAATGTTTTTGGCCTGAGCAGCTAGTAGGGAATTGCCTTCATGGAGAAGATGTGTTTACAAAAAGATCGGGAGTTTGGTTTCAAACATGTTGACGTTTTATATTTGAGAGGTATACTAGACATCCAGGGGACGTGTTCAATCAAATCAATGCATCACCGTCTCTGTCCCCACAGCTGACTGACCAGGCATGGCTCCCAGCTGGAGTTCGAGTGCCTCTCCACCAAGTGCCCTATACTGTGAAGGGCTGTTTCCGCTTCCTGCCCCCAGCCCAGGTCACTGTTGTGGGCAGCTACCTTTTGGGCACCTCCATCCGGCCGGACATCAATGTGGATGTAGCACTGACCATGCCCAAGGTGAGATCCAGAGTTGAGGTGATGGAATGGCTTGCTACTGTACTACTTAAAAATCCCAGAGTCCCTCCCTTTTCCCCACCTGTTGCTTATCAGTGGATTGAAATCTGAATTCTAAATCAAAAGAATAGATCACTGCAATTATCTTTAGAGGGCTACTCAGATGAGCCCTTAGGCCAGTTGCTGTCCCTTTACACCTTTGCAAACTGAGTGTGGTGTTGCTAGCCCTTACTTGGGAATTCTGGCCAGCAGAAAATTCCTGGAGTTGCTAAGCTATAATTCTCACCTTGGCTTTATCTGGGCCCCCAAACTCTTGAACAGCAAGTACTTAAAGTGTGTGGCCATCTCTCTTTTCTTGATCCCCGTCAGGAGATCCTACAGGACAAGGATGGGCTGAACCAGCGCTACTTCCGCAAGCGTGCCCTCTACCTGGCCCACTTGGCTCACCATTTGGCCCAAGACCCCCTCTTTGGCAGTGTTCGCTTCTCCTACACCAACGGCTGCCACCTGAAACCCTTGCTGCTGCTGCGGCCTCATGGTGGGTGGGGATACACACACACACACACACTGGGCCTAGGGCACAGGATGCGGTGATAAATCCAGTGGGGGAAGCATAGGACCCATAGGTCCAAGGTGAGAGGCTTGGGCCTCAAGTTT